GCGGGACTCGGGGCTCGGGCGTGGCCCCGCCCTGCCCCGCCCTCCCCGGCGCAGCCACCGCCCCGGCCGCCCGCGCCCGCCCGGCTCCGCAGCGAGGCCCGAGGGGCGGAGCCAGCTGCGCACGCCCTCCCGCCCCGCCCCGCCCGCGCGCCGCGCCTGCCACTCAGCGCGGGCCCTGCGCCCCGCCTCACCTGCGCCCGCCCCCCGCAGGGCGCTTTATTGGTCCGACAGAGGGGCGGGGCCAGCAGGTGAGGGGCGGGGTCCTGGGCCCCGCCTCCGAGTCCCCAAGCGGAGTTTTGGCCCGGCTGGAGCGGGCCGTGCTCCCAGTGACCTCTGAGCTACCCTCACTCTGGTCGTGACCCACGCGCGGGCTCAGCCGCAGCGGTAATAATCAGAACAGCAGTTTGCAAACCCCTTTTCCCGGCTTGGTTCATCGCAGTGGTTAAAAAAAGTGTGCTTTGGTGTCTGCCTGTCGGGGTTCATACCCCACTCGGTCACCTTAAAGACCTTTAATGAAAAATAGCTCTTCCTTCAATTCCTCATCTGTTAAACGGGGGGCGTTGATAACAACTACCCAAAGCACTTGTACTACATGAGACGATGCCTGGGAACTTTTGCACACTAGGAGCTTAGGAATGTCGAGTCCCTCTCACCGTCCCAGTTCTAGCTGCCACACAGGATGAAGCATCCTGAGCCCTGGTTCTGAATCCTCTTGCCCATCCTTTGACAACTGGGGTAATTCTCCTGCTCTGTCTGGGCCCCAGTCACGTGCAAAACGGGATTCGCAAGGTTAGATGAGCTAGAAGCAAGTAAAGTGCCCGACGCAAAGTCAAGCGGATGCGCAGTGATGCTTTCTTACGGACGGTACAGGGATAACGAGCCCAGAGAGCTTGTGGCTTGCGTAAACTCTCGGCCCCCGCCGGGCAGAACCTCGCCCCGCGCCAAGGTCTTCCCCCGCTAGGCTCGGGGTCGGTGGCGGGCCTCCCTCCTCCCCAGCACACCCTAGGCAGAGATTTTCTCTCGGCTTCTGTCTAAAGCGCCACGATGACGCCCCTCCGGGCAGGTCCGGGCGGCGCGCCGGGAGCTTTCAAGTCCCTGGTCCCGGGCTTGCAAGTGCGGGCCTGCGCCTGGCGCGGCTGCGGGAGCGTCTGCCCTCGTGCGCCGAATGGCCCCGCGGGGCTCCTGGCCCGCCTTAGAAACACCCGTCCCCGTGCCCCCCCACCCCCCCAGTCCCAAGGTCCGCCTCCCCGCAGCCCCTCCCAAACTGTTCCCAGGGCTGGGCCCCAAAGGCACAGCTGCCTTCCACCAGGCCTCTCATTCTCCATCGCTTTCCACCCACACGACCCAGTGACCCAAAACAAGTGCCTTGTTTTCACTGTGTCACTCCCGAGTTCAAGAATCCCGTGGGCTCCTGATTGGAGCAGGGAGCCACCCCCCACTCCCCAGCGAGGCCAGGTCTGGGGGACACACCCTCCACGTCCTGCCTGGTGTCCGCCACTCTTGCTCATCTTCTCCATCATCTTGAGCCCTTCCCCGCCTCCAAAACCACCTCCGCTGGAGCTGGGAACTCTTCCCTTCTAACTTGTCCCACGGCAGGCACAGGAAGCACGCCTGGAAGGAGAATGAAATGAGAACGTGCAGGTGAGACCACCAGCACAGACCAAGGCCTCCACAAAGGGGGACCTTCCAACATTTAACAAATGCTCAGGGCAGAACAGCATGCCAACAGCACCAGCAAGACAAGCCTCCTTTGAGAACTTACGTTCCAATGGCGGGGAGCGGCCTCAACCAACATGAAATGAATGCGAATTTCAGAGAACACCAAGTACTAGGAAGACAAGAAAATGGACAGAGAACGATCTGCGGTCGGCTTTAGAGTGTGGAGGAGAGGTTTTTTCAAAGCAAGACACAGCTCTCCAGTTTACAAGTTTCACATCTCATCCTGGTTTCAGAGGAGGAAACAGGAAGTGGCAAACAGGAGATTCAACACACGGTTCACTTGGCCAAGTCTGGAGATTGATGCCATTCACTTGTCATGCCCCCGTGCAGGAAGGCACCCCTACTGTGTGCGTACCAGCACCCTGCTGACATTTGGCTCTCCTGGCCTTGATTACAACCAGAATGCGCCCAGTGAGAAATGAAAACGTGGGTCCCTTGTTCAAAATTATTAATAATATCAAGGTGGTGAGCATTAAGCCAACTGTTAAACCAAGAGCATTAAACCAAGCGTGGGACCCTCCTAAGCTCAGGAACCCTATGTCGCTAGACAGGTTGCATGCCCATGAAACTGGCTTGTACAGTAGAACTCAGAAATAACGTGCAAGCCCATGCCCGCACTGGTTGTTAAGAGAAACATCCCTCTGTCCTTCCCCAGGCCTCCCTCCCCTCCTTTCCAGCTTAAAGCCGAGCACAGGTGATGGAAACAGTGCACAGAGGCTAAAAATACAGCTGCACAGGTCTAGGTCAGGGCACTTAATGGCTCAAGGTCTTTTGCTCAGTTATGTGGTCCTGGCCCCTGGCAGGAAGCAGCCTGAGATACTCATTTCAATGCTTCACATGCCTCAGTTGTTCTGCAGTTTCATTTCACGGAAAGAGGGAGGACTCTGACTGCAGCCCCTGGCCGCCAGGAAGATGTTGGTGTCTGTCTGTCTGTCTGCCTGCCTGTGGTCAGTAAGCAGGGCCTTCCATTCCTTGAAGAGCAGCAGGATTTGCCAAGAAGCTGGGAGATCTCAGCTGGTGGAGTTTGGGCGATCTGGTATCTTTGAAACTCCTGTTGAGATGATTGCTGCTCAAAGGGCAGTCGTGTAAAGAAGAGCCCTGGACAAGGAGCCCGATTGTAAGGAGGGAAGCTTTTACTGAACTCAGGCAGGGTGCAGAGTTTGCTGTCACATTTCACATAATGCTCCCAGTAGGCCCACGCTGGAGGCACCCTTGCCACCCACCTCACACAGAGAGGTGAAATGGTCGCACAGTGGTAGAACTGGACTTTGAAGCCAGGCAGAAGGATCCCAGGACCACACTCCTAATCCCTGTGGTGAACTGCCTCCTTGTCCTCATGGGGTTCTGGCAACAAATGCCTACTAAGTGCTCCAAAGCCAAGATAAGGGCGAGGCATTCGCCTCAGGCACAAAATTTCAGGAAGCCCCAAACACTCAGTAATGAAATAAATATGATTTAATAGGTCTTAAAATACATTCAATATACTAAATCAATAGTGTTTTAACGCAATCTGTCAAAAAAAAATCTAAATGAATGTCAAATGACCCGTGATGAACAAAATATCAAAGTGTTACATAAAAACAGAATCTAGATTCATGATTTTCGCTGGGCTTCAGCCTCAGCTCCGAACAGTAGTGTTCCTTATCCTGTCTCCCGGGTTTCTGGGCCAAGCAACTAGAGATGCAGAAGTCCAGAGAAGTAGTGGTTTGCTTGTTCCGATGAGGGTGAGGGGAGAGGAAGGAACTGGTTTTGGACATAATGAGTCAGAGGTGTCCAGGGCATCCAGGAGGGATGTCCTCAGGTCTAAGAACTTGGAGGCAGTTAAGAAGGGATGGCAGGGTGGGTAGGGCACCCTTATTTCACGTATTTGGCGCGTGGTAGGTACGCATTCAGCACATGTGGTCTAAATCACTGGTCCTCAGGGTCTGCATCACAGTTCAGGAATCTTTTCAAATTCTCTCATCCAAAGATTTTATTTTCTTTCTTAAACCTTCTACATCACAAACCTCAGATATGTTCCCTTATGGGTGTGGAAGTTTATTGCTTGGGTGGTAAGAACATCTCCCATGGAAACTGAAAATAACTCTATTCCACGAGAATTTGGCATGAAGGGGGAAGAGAAGAATTAATATAAATTGGCTCAATTTCCTCCTTATTAACTGATCCTCTAAGAAGAGAAGAGGAGCTAAGAGAAATGAAAGAGAAGATAGTAGTAAAGGAGAAGAGAGAAGAAAGATTACAGGAGCTAAAAAATGCAGTGGGGAGAGCTTGGCTAAGTATTAAAGAAGGGCAGATGTGTTTCCAAATAGAAGCAGTTTTTTAGATACGTCAGGAAGCACAGCTCCAAATGATGGGTGGAAAATAAAGGTTATTTAGACTGAGCTAAGCAGCATAGAAAAGGTTCACTGGAGACTCAAACTGAGGAACAGGCCTTTCAGCAACATGGAAGCCCTACTGCCTCAGCTCCAGGTTCTCTGCATCCAGTGTTGGCATCAACAATGGGAATTCTTGCCATGGTTTCAGGACCTTGGACCAAGTGAAGTCTTTCCATCCTGACTTTACAGTTCGGAACAGTCTTCATGGAACAATCTCTGTTGAAGACTAGTCACTTTCCTGCACTTATCCTCAGGTATCCACTTTTCTTGCTGCCCAACAAAGCATCAGATATTCTGGAAACACCCACAACCAGGGGGATATGTGGTTCCTGTAAAAACACCACTTCTGTGAGATTGATGAATATGACAAATGTTTAGTGACAGTGGACCATGGAAAAGAAATGTCAGTACACCCAAATCAGATCAGAATCATTCCCTGCTTCAAGAGGCTCATTCTTTGGCCTCATAAACCAGATGCACACACAAGAAGGACTTGAGATGAAGTTCATGTCAAATGTTGGATCATGTTACTCAGATCATGGGCAACAGGAACTCAAGAAAGGGTCAGAGGAGTGAATGGGCCACAATAATAATGTTAATAAGAACACTGTTTATTGAGCAAGCTCTGCACCAGGAGCCATGCCACATGTGTTGCATGCATTGTCCCATTTCATCGTCACAGTGATTCTGGGATAGGCAGCATTACTATCTTCATTTCACAGATGAGGAAAGTAAGGGTCAGAGATGTGGGGTCACCTGCCCATTGAGTGGAGCTGAGATGTTGACTCAAGCAGACCAATCCTTGAGCCCAGAGAAAGTCTCATGACAAGGACAGGACCAGAACTGGGCCTGGGTGTGGTGTGCAGATGGGCCGAGTGGACAAGAGGCAAAGAGCTATGTGTGGTTAAAGAGCAAGGTGGTGTAGACTTTGGCTGCGTCTGGTCTGTGTTGGTTACTAGCTTTGGGATCTAGGATATGGTTCTTGAGCAATTTGTGCCTCAGTTTCTTCATCTGTGTAGTAGGGATGGCTACAGTACCCAAACTCATAAGGCTGTTGGTAGCATTTCACGATATGATGAATGCAAAGTAGCTAGAACAGTGCTTGGCCTACAGCAAGCATCCAATAAATATAAATTTTACTGGCATAGGTGAAATAGCACAGGCCAAATTAGCCTGGGTTAGTTCTAAGGAACGTGAGGGTTACCTCTTGAGCTATAGTCCATCAAAGTGAGTTACATTAAAGGGAGAGAAGGCAGAATTTGACCAAATTTGAAGAGTCTCAGCTGCCATTCACATAGACAGTTCTGTGCTAGAAAGATTCATCCTGCTCTTCAGAGCCAGAGCAGTGTCACTTGGTCATTGAGTCAAAGGCCCAGAAAAGTAAGTACAACAGGTGAGCGTCTGGAAAGAGTAGGTGTGGGAAGGCCAACCTTGAGACAGGGAAGGAAAGAAGAGAAACATCAGAGCCATTCCTTGTGTGCCTTTCTTGCCCAATATTTCCCTTCTGTCCCTGCCATGCAGAGGAAAGTCAGACACTAGTGCAAGAGCCTCATGCCGCCTCTCCAGGATGCACCAGCTCTGAAAGGATGCTCGCCCGCCCGGCTCCAGACACTCGCAAACCCTTCCCAGAGACAAACCATTTCCAACGTCCTGCTCTAAAGCTGACCCACCTCTTGGAAGGTGAGGCCAGGGCTCGCCGCTGAATAGGCCCCATTGTCCTCCCAAGTATTTGTGGGTCCAGATGCCGTAGGCCTGGAGGTTCCACTGCGGCCTGTGGTGCGGTCTGCCTGTACACTTTGATTTAATCCAGGGACAACACTTGAAAAATCAAACAGGCAACACATGCAATTCCAGGAGCTCCTGCCAGACTCATACCCTGTTTTTCCATCATTCTGCTCTTCTCCCCCTCAGGAGGGAGTTTCCTTCGTCATTTTGTGCATGAAAAATCAAAACCACCAACAGGACAAGCACCTGATAAGGAGCGAGGCATTGCCCAAGAGTTCCCAGGCAGAGGCGTCTTTGTTCTCGTTTCAAGCCCTTGACACTGCTAACAGCTCTGATTACTGCATTTGCCATGGGATGTAAAATAAAACCACATTCCAGAAACCATGCAGTCTCCCGGGGAGACACATACAGGGAGAGGTGCCCAGGGCTGCAGGAACGTGTTCTTTCATTTCTGGTCCCTAACCTTGGCAGCTATTCTGAGAATTTAACAGTACCTTCTTTATGTGCATGGAAAAGGGCACTTTTGCACATGTAGGGATCTATCTCACCACCTATATTCACAAATTTGGTCTGCGTATTTGACTACGTTGTGTGCAAAGCATGTTTCTTCTTAAGGACATGAGGACTTTTAAAACTCACCCTAGCCATTTTGGGAGAAATGAGGACTTCAGGAATTCCTGAAGCTGGAAGTACAACAAAATACAACTTCTTCCAACATCATTTAACTATAAAATCTGATGATGTAATGCCCACCCTCACCCACATCACAAAACAAAGTGACATCACAAATACTAGGGATAATGGTTCGAGACTGCCTGCATGTGAGCCCAAAGTTAAAGAAACTGCAATTTGCCCATACACGACTGAGGCAGAGAAAGACAAGTGACTAGAAATATTAAAACAAAACAAAACCAGAGAAAAGGGAAAGAGAAAATATGTATTTCTTCCCCCTACTGAAACATGGTAAGGCAATTTAATTTTTTTATAGATGCCATTTCTCAGAAAGCCAGGTCTCTTTAAGTATTTGATTCTGATTTATCCAAATTATTCTCTGGCTCTTGGCTGACCCCAGGAAATGGAAGGCAGCATCATTTGCATTATGCTTTTGCCAAATTGACCCCAGAGTATATGTGTCTATTAAGCAGCTTTTCTTAGCTCATGACAATCTGGTCAGAAAGTGGAGTGATTCGGTGTTTGGCAGAACTTTACCTGCTGTCCTTTCTGCATGACAACATGGTTGAGAAGTGACTACAGCTCCCATAGGAATCTTGAGTGAACCTGTCTTCCTTGCTTTTCGTGCCATGAGTCCCTTAGTTTTCTCGTGGAAAGGAGTTGTCTTTCATTCCTTGTTAACAATACCTGATCCTCCACTTCCAGCCCAACCATGCTATGTTCTTGGAGAGCCTGAATATCGCTGTGTCTTGGTGAAGTTACTGTCACTTCCCTACTTGGTATAAAAGGCTTTGGTGAGCAGGAGAGATGGGTAAAAAGATTTCTAAGAGCTGTGGGGAAGGAATGGTCTGCAAAAAGATGTTGATACTTGGCCTCAAAAGGAGACCTTCTAGTCTCTGCTCGAGAACTGGCCTTTTTTTCCCCTTATGTTTCCAGCATGCTGTCCATGTGAGACGGGGCTCCAGCATCCCTTATCCATGGACTCCGACAGTCTATCTTACTGAACACCAGGCTTCAGGACTGCTATGCGGACTCACCAGCTCTCACCCACACCCGGAAGGCTGGAACGTGCGCCAAGCGGAACATCCAAGCCCCAGCACCAGGTACCACCTCGTCTTGGGAAGTTGTCAAGAACCCGTTGACTGCCAGTTCATTCTCCATGATTAAGCTGGTGCTCAGGTGACAACTAATGGGTAAATGTTGACCAGTACCACGCAAGTTTGGAGGGGCAAAACCCTTGAAGAGATTAAAGCCCAAGGACAATTCAGCGATGAAAGCCACCCAGCGGTGCAGGATAAGGAACTCCATCAGTTCCAAGAACAGGCGGCCAGCGGGGCAGCCGCCCGGCTCACCTGGGTGCAGGAGGCCTGTCGGAGACATCAAGGAGGTAGATGACAGCTGGTGGCAGAGAAAATGTGATGGAGTGGGGAGAGGGAAATGTAAGCTGGAGAGTGTTTGATGCTTGAGAGACTGTTACACAAAGTGAAGGAAAATCCTAAAGGTACAGATAGGACTCGGCGGGAGGATCTGGGCAGGGGAGCCATGATGTAGGGAAGGGTACCAGATTGGGGGGCATGCATGCTATGTCCACTCTGCCTCGTTCTGTAGGCGGATGAAAGGGCTTACCTAAACAGAGAAGAGGAACTTGACATGGAGGGAAAACAAAGGTGGGGAAGGCCAGGATCGGGGCAGTGTTCTCAGACACACACAGGCCAACATCAGAGAGCCACAGACCTTGCTATGAACTTCCACATGGAGAATCTGGATCCAGAGGCCTGCGCTGAATCCAGCTCCATCACTCTGTGGAGCTTGGCTGCCATGGCTCAAATCCCAACTCCATCATTAAGGACAAATGCGGGCTTAGCCTCTTTCTGCCTTGTTTTTTGCCATCTTTAAAATGGGGAGTAACAGCCCTGCCTTCATAGGACTTCGTGAGGATTAAACAAGTTAATACGTGCAAAGGACATTTGAGCAGAGCCTGGCAGATTACCTGCTTAGGATCCTGCATGGAATTCAATAGATGACAACTGTGATTATTAACTTTGATGTGTGGCCTTGGGCAAAGCAATTCCAATTTCCTTGCCTTCAGAGCCGTCTCTCGCTGACCTTACGTTGTTGTGGGGAATGCATGCAGTGGTATACTGGAGGGAATTTAGTAAACTAGAACATGCTGGACAAATGTTGGTTATGGCTGTAACCAAGACTCCAGGACACAAATCCCAGATAATTATTCTGAGCTCCCTTCTCAAGTTTTAGCTCTGACTTCTCTGCTTTTCTTCCTGGCTAGAGTAAAGAAAGTTCAAAGGAGAAAAAAGTAACAGTCGGCCAAGATCTTGAGAGCAGATATGCTGAACATGTGGCTGCCACCCAAGCACTACCCCCGGACATTGGGACGGCAGCCTGGAAGGGCCGGGCATTGCTTCCTGAAACCAGGAGACAGCAGTTGGTGGAGGACACGCTAACCATCCACGGCCTCCCCACAGAGGGTTACCAGGCTCTGTACCACACTGTGGTGGAGCCAATGCTATGGAATCCTTCAGGGACCCCTAGGAGGTACAGCTTGGAGCTGGGCAAGGCCATCAAACAAAAGCTCAGGGAAGCTCTGTGCAGCCAGGCCGCTGCCCCTGGAAGTGTTCGGAAGAACCCGCTGCCAGGCAGGAAGTAGCTAGACGTCCATGAGGAGCTTCTGCCCAAGAAACGGCCCAAGTTTAAAAGTGAGAAATAGGAACAAGAGCCCCCAGGATTACGATGTTCTCTGCTAGATGTCAGAAAAATAAACAATACTTTGCACCTTCCACGTAATCTCAGGAGTGCTTTACAAATTAGGAACTACCCTCCCCAGGAAACAAGATAAATGGGTACCAGATTCATTTCAGATGGCAGGCTCCTCGCCTCTCTCGTGACTACGTATTTTCAAGGGCTAGAGGCTTGGGGCTTTGTTCCTACAAGCCCCTTCTCCTTAACAGGGGCTTGAGGGCCTCTCAATCTTCCAGGTAGGAAAAGGTCTGGAAAATGAAGCTGATGATTTATACACAGCCTCTGCTCCCTATTTTTAAAAAGTGTACTGCTAGGATCGATTACCATTTCCCTCACTCACTCTACCTAGAGCAGAGCAGAGCGATCACCACGACCTCAAGGGCATAATCCCGCACGCTCTTGATCAGATACCCTCCCGTGGCACCACCCAAATCCCCCAAAACCTCAACTCTGTGTTAACAGAAGAGGAATTTATACAGATGCTTCCATGAGTGAGTTGAATACAAAAGGCACTGCTTCACTCACATCTCCTTTGTGGTATCTGTAGACCAAATAGAGCAATGACAACATGTAACATGTACTTGATAAAATTGTATTTTTTTTTTTACAGTCATTTGTACAATTTGTTACAAAACCATAGAAGACTACAACTTGTTTTAAATCATTTTTGGTCGGCAAATACGTAAAATCTGTGTGCAATTATCATGTATTTACAGGGCCTCATGTTAGTCATTTTCAATGATTATTCCAACAATGTCACACTCTCAACATAAGACATGGCTTAAGATAAATATATTAGTAAATAAATATTCTGAGAACATATTTCCATAAATGAAATGTGCTGCTATACATATACAGAATATACATAAGTTTTTTTCTAGCCTTTAAAACATTTTTTAAAAATGGTAATGTTGGAGAAGGAGCCCTTAGACCATCTTACTACAAAATTTTTACAGCAAAGTCTTTACAAAATATCTTTTAAGTGCTATGGGAGAAATTTTTAAAAAAAACATTTTAAAATAGTGCCTTGTTAGACCAACACAATAGAGTTTATATAAAGAATAGAAAAAGGCAGTTCTGTTTAAAAAATAATACTCTTCATTAGTAATTACTTTTTAGACCTCATTTTAAAAGCCTTAGTCCTGCATGAACTTGGGAGTAGAAATTAGCAGCACAGAATGAGCAGTGGGACAGCAGATGGGACTTTATAAAATGGCCTGGGTTCAGAGAAGAGACAGAGAGTGAGAACCAGCATTCTGGGGCTGTCTACTACAGAGACACACCTTGTCGATCAGGACTCCACCCCCCCTTTTTAACCAGTTCTAGCACTCTTCAGTTTATATGGCTGTCCTACACCAGGGTTGGGCCAAGGGACAATAGCCAATAGTCACAGTCCGGCTTTGGGAGGGGGGTGGTCCTCAATGGAAAATTTGATGTCCCTAGTTTCCGTGGCTATACAACCCACTTATGCCACCGAGAGGCTATGGAAAAAGGTACTTGGCATCACTATTGGAATCTTACAACTTCAAAGGAGACATTTCTTTTGATATGAAGGATGAGACAACAATACAGTTGGTTACTACATTCTGGTGGGTCTCTTGTCTGGTGAGTCAACACAAATTTCAGACAATGGCTGATATTTAAAGTTTTAGAATTTCATTTTTCTTTTCCACCACCCTGTGAACTACAGAAGTTAAATGTGCTTTCTTTTGCCATCTATAATTATTGCTCTTTCAAATGAAAATTGGACACATTTATTTTAATAAGCCCAGTTGAAGCCACATTCTCTACTATCTATTTATTGCTTAAGGCTGTTGAAGAGTGAGTGGTTTTTCCAGCTAGGACTTAAGAAAGCCACTCTGGGGGTATGGTTTCAGACAAGAAAGATAATATGCACTCAAAAGTATTAAACAAAAAAAACCAAAAAAACAAAACCACAAACAAAAATCTCAACAATGAGCAAGCTGCTTTTTGCAGTTCCTATTAGAAACCATACCGCTCCCCTCCCCCCACCTCTTCCCTAAAACCATGTAATGCAAGCTGTTGTCCTTAGCAGCTGCTACTCCTGGCCTGAGAATTAAAAGAGGCCCAGATCACATGTCAACAGCTTAGGAGCTTCGCACACCCTCGCCAACAGGTGTGCTGAGCTTCGGCTGGGGGTGGGGTTGGGGGGAGTGACCCCCCAGCGACTGCACCTCAGGGGCTGGGGGACAAATCTCACCACAGTGAGTTCCTCCTAAAGGGCCAATTGCTCCATCACTTGACCCTGGAATTTCTTTCTGTCAACTCCTGGCTAGAAGTAAATCTCCTCATCACAGGTTGGGGTCTTTAAGAAAAAGGGATTCTGATAGAGATTTTCATTCAAAACGTTCTGGACTGGACCCTAGACTGACTCCCCCTGAGCCTTACTGGAAAGAAACCATCACAGCCTCCTGACAGCCCCGGGTGGTCTCTGCTCCCCACCTGTAAGGGGCCAGAGGTTGCAAGGTTCCTATTCTAAAAATGAGCATTCAGATGACAGCATTTCAGGTAACAAACAACTGCTGAACAAATAAAAGTCACCAGAAGAGTCAGTGAACACAAGGGCTAATATGATTGGTTTTCTCTAAAAAAAAAAAAAATTAAGAACACGAAATATATTGGACGAAAAGGATGACAAATCCCTGATTTGAAGTAGCTTTAAAGAGATTCTCCCTTTTAAAATGGAAACATTAAAAAAAATGGTTTGGGTTTTTAAACTCTCCTTACCTCTTAAAAACAATAACAAAGTGTAGGAAAATATTCAAAAACCTACCCTTTGGGTCCTAAACTATCTGATAGTCTCTTTCTCTGTCTCATGGAGAATCAATACGTAATAGTGCATTAGGTAGAAAGAATAGTAGACATTTGCAGGTGAGATGAACAAATTCAGCCGTGAGGCATACAGGTGAATCACCCTGAAGCGGTGCTTCCACAGAGAAATGAGATGGGAAGCTTATCGCTCAAACTGGAGCCCTGGGCAGAGCCAGTGGGTCCGGCCATGTACCCCAAGCCTGGGAGCCCAAGGGCGCAGGAGCCACGAGGCAGGGCTGCGCCCAGGCCGACGCATACACACAGGCAGGCTCTGTCACAGTCTGCCCTAGTCCCCCAGACAGCAAGGCAGCCAAGCTGCGTTGCTCCTGGGGGTTTGTCCCCACACACCCCTGGGAACCATGTCTGCACCAGTGGCAGGATACCCAGGTTCAGGACTGTTAGCTCCGTCCATTTACTTTGGACGATGGCCCAAGGGAAGAGATGGGCGCACTCTGGGTGGAATCGTCCCCGTCACCCCGGGCCTTGGTAGCACTGGCCCATCCCGGCCCTTCAGTGCTGCACACCTCCCGCCCTGCTCCGAGCTGTTTCCACCAGCTGCCTAAAGGTGTGGGCTGGAGGGGCATGGCTTCTGAGAAGACCCCAACTCTGTAAGTTGGGATTGGCCGTGAGAAAGCAAGAGGCAGCATTGCATTGTTCCTCAAAGTCTGTACCCATATCAACTAGCTTTACTTCAAGTTTCTGGTTCGTGTTCTAAGGCGGGTGTAGCCCTGAGCTTTTCAAAGGCCTGAGCTCCCTCTGGGGAGACAACAGTATCTACACATGATGTGGTTCAATTAATGCAGCAGTGATTTTTTTTTTCAGCAAAAGTGGGCGGTTAGGGTTCTTTAAAATATATATTTAAATAACTTTTTACATTTCATATAATATCTTAAAAAACAGAGCAGAGAACTCAATCCCACACACCTCGGAACCCCAAGCACACACACCTTACAAAACAGAGTAACATGTTATCAAAATAGGCAAAAGACTCACAGAATTTTGTCTGTTGGTTTGTTAATGGAGGGGGAGGGCAGGTTGCCACAGGTGGCTCACATTTTGGGTTGAGGAGGGCTCTCTTTATTACCACTTAGAGTGTTTGTCAAAGCTAAAAAAAATTTTTTTTTGAAGGAAGAGTTTGGAGTCTCCGTACAGTCCCCATGTCCACGTCAGAGTTCCTTCTGAGCGCAGGCTCTCGGGCCACCGTCCGCGGGGTGAGATCTCTGCCCTGGGGTAGAGAGAACAGTCATGAGAGGAGGGAGCCAGCACCGCAGGCCTCGGGCACGACACACAGGGACCAGGCAAGGGACTCGGGAGCCCAGCCCCAGCGTGCGGCAGGCTCTCAGGGAGTGACAGCTCACGATACCGCACAGGCTGAACATGGCAAAGGGCTGAGGCAGGGCTCCTTGGCTGGGAGCACCGGTGCCTCCTAGAGAGCCAGCCTCTCTCACCGGGAGGTGCAGAGCCTTCTAGAAGCCCTTAGGTTGCACGAAATCACACCATGCAAAAGAGTCTGTACACGGCAGGCACTGAGAAGGGCAGGGGAGAAGACCTGACACCCCCAAAACAAAGTATTTTCAGATTGTGATAACCTGGGAAGTAAGGAGAGAGTGTGACAGTGACCTCAGAGGAGGCGCAGGGCCTGAGGGGCCCTGAGAACTGGAGGAGGGGCTGGAATGGGCTGGGCACCTTGGAGGAACAGGACGCAGGCCTGAGGGGGCTACAGAAGTGAGCGGCGAGGAGGGCGGACCAGGAGGTCACACAGGCAGGCGGGAGCCACATCATACAGAAAGAAGGGAGTAGTTCACATTTGTTAAATTCTAGAAGTAACGGCAAGTCATTGAAGGGTTTCCTAGTGTAAAAACACTGACTTATGTTTCAAAAAAGACCCCTCTGGCTTCTATGCAGAATAAAAGGCAAGACCAGTCAGCACCAGACCACTCAGATGGCCACTGCCGTCACCCTGGACAGAGGAAATGAGCCGGACTGAAGGGACAGCAGGCGGGGATGCAGAGAAGGTAAATTTGGGACATATTTGGAGGTGGAACTTTTTGCAGTACTGCTCAAGTGCTGGACTACACAGTCTATTACTGAGACAAAACACTCGGAAACTTTATAGCAGTTTGACAACTTCTACTGAATCTAATACAAATTCTGGCTTTGCATTTTGTATGTTTCTTGCTAGGTTTCATTCTTCTGGGAATTCACTTTCCTGGATGGGGGGTGGCACACAAGCACACGTAATCCTCTGGGTTAAGAAGCCCAAGACCCTGGAGCACGAGGGGGCGGGCAGGCTCAGGGACTGCTTGGCCTTTTGGACTGAGCCTGTGGGTGGGGAGCCTTGAGAAAGGAGCGCAGACGGAGGAATTTGGGGGTGCTGCTGTGGATCTGACTGGCTGGGACGCTTGTGTGGCACCTCGGGAAGAACATGGAAGCAGAAGGCCCAACGGGTCTGGAACTCAGAGGAAAGGCCTGTTTAGAGAATAACGCTTAGAGACCATCAGGCAGAGATGGTGCTGAAGGGACTCAGAAAATGACCTCAGAGAAAGATTAGGGGCCCCGACTGGCCGACTGTCACCTCCTGCTCTCACCTGTAGCCTTGGTGGCTCTGACGCTGGACTCCTGAGTGTCCTGGGGGTCACGGGGGAGGCTGGCCCTGGCAGACCCCACCTCCTCTAGAGGGCAGCCAGGTGGCAGTGGCATCACGGCCTGGCAGCACAGAACCTGCTCTTCTTTCTGGGCCACCCCCAGGCCCCTGTGGGGCCGCAGGGCATCTGGTCCCGATGTCCCAGCCCAAGGGCTGAGGCCATGGGTCCCCTGGCAGTCCGAGGGCAGGCCCACGTCACAGTCTACATCCTCAGGAATGATGGGGATGCGCTGGCTCAGGTCCCTGAGCCCTGGGGGGCAGCTGGGCAGGGGCTCCTGGGAGAGTGTGTACTGCACACTCACAGAGCAGTCCTCGGTGTGGCGGCCGCTGCCCCCACCGCCACTG